GAGGTGGACGTGAACCTGCCGACAGGAGACCTGGATGTTTCTGTTCCAAAGGTGGATATTGAAGGTCCGGAGCTGGACATTGAAGTGCCAGAGGGGAAGCTAAAGGGCCCCAAGTTCAAGATGCCCGAGATGCACATCAAGGCACCCAAGATCTCGATGCCCGACATTGACTTGAACCTGAAAGGTCCGAAAGTGAAGGGGGATGTGGAGGTTTCTGCACCTGACCTGGAAGGCCCTAAGGTTGAGATCGAGGCCCCCGACGTGGACATCAAAGGCCCTGAAGGGAAGCTGAAGGGCCCCAAGTTCAAGATGCCGGACCTGCACCTCAAGGCTCCCAAAATCTCCACGCCGGACTTTGATCTGAACCTGAAAGGTCCCAAAGTAAAAGGAGACGTAGACGTGTCGGTGTCAGGACTCGAATGTGAACTGAAAGGTCCAGAGGTCAATGTCGGCGCTCCTAAATTAGACGTGGGTGCCCCCGATGTTGATGTTGACGGCCCGGAGGGTAAATTCAAGCTGCCTAAATTCAAAATGCCCAAGTTTTCCATGCCTGGCTTTAAAGGGGAGGGAGTGGATGTGGACGTGAACTTCCCAAAGGGAGACGTGGCCGTTTCGGGCCCCAGCATAGATGTAGAGGCTCCTGATCTGACGGCGGATGGACTCCATGCCCGACGTTGACTTCAATCTCAAGGGCCCCAAGCTGAAGGGCGACGTGGACGTGTCTGTCCCTAAGCTGGAAGGTGACCTGAAGGGTCCCGAGGTGGACATCAAGGGCCCCAAAGTCGACATCGAGGCCCCCGACATGGACATTCACGGCCCAGAAGGAAAATTCAAAATGCCCAAGTTCAAAATGCCCGAAATGCACATTAAAGCCCCCAAGGTCTCCGTCCCCGATGTCGACTTCAACATCAAGGGGCCTCAACTGAAAGGAGGCGTAGATGTTTCCGGACCCAGGCTTGAAGGCGATTTGAAAGCCCCCCAAATGGATGTGCAAGCCCCCAAAATAGATGTTGAGGCTCCCGATGTGACCATCGAAGGGCCGGAAGGGAAACTCAAAGGCCCCAAGTTCAAGATGCCAGAAATGCACGTCAAGGCGCCCAAGTTCTCCATGCCCGACGTCGACTTCAATCTGAAAGGCCCCAGGCTGAAGGGTGACGTGGACGTCTCGGCGCCCAAGTTGGAAGGGGATTTGCAGCGTCCGGGTGTTGACATCGAAGGCCCCAAGTTGGACCTTCGGGCACCTGACGTGAACATCGAAGGGCCGGATGGAAAACTGAAAGGGCCCGGGATCAAGATGCCGGAAATGCACGTCAAGACCCCCCAGATCTCCATGCCAGACATAGACTTGAACCTGAAGGGGCTGAGGCTGAAAGGCGATGCTGACCTTCAGGGCCCAAAGCTCGAGGGAGGTCTGAAGGGTCCTGAAATTGATATCAAGGGCCCCAAAGTAGATATCGAGGGCCCGGAGGTTGATGTCGATGGTCTGGAGGGAAAAATGAAGCTGCCTAAGATGAAGCTGCCCAAGTTTGGCTTCAAAGGAGAAGGTCCCGACGTGGACGTGAACCTGCCAAAGACGGAGGTCGATCTTTCGGGCCCCAAGGTAGATATCAGCGTCCCGGACGTGAGCGTCGAAGGTCCAGAGGGCAAACTGAAAGGTCCTAAAGTGAAGATGCCAGAAATGCACGTGAACGTTCCGAAAATCTCAATGCCTGAGATCGACTTGAATTTGAAAGGCCACAAAACGAAGGGAGGCTTTGACGTTTCAACCCCAAAGATAGAAGGTAACCTGAAAGGTCCCGAAGTTGATATCAAGGGCCCAGAATTTGGAGTCCAATGCCCTGAAGTTGACGTCGAATGTCCTGACCTGAACGTTGAAGGCCCGGAGGCAAATGTCAAACTTCCCAAGTTTAAGAAGTCAAAGTTCGGGTTCGGGATGAAGAGCCCGAAGGCGGAAATCAAGGTCCCGGGGGCAGAAGTGGATTTACCTGAGGCGGAGCTGAATGCCGAGTCGCCCGACGTCAACGTTGCTGGAAAGGGTAAGAAGAGCAAGTTCAAGATGCCAAAACTTCATATGAGCGGCCCTAAAGTGAAAGGAAAGAAAGGTGGGTTCGACGTGAACGTGGCCGGTGGAGAGCTCGATGCGAATTTGAAATCTCCCGACCTGGATGTGAACGTAGCTGGTCCGGACGTGACGATAAAAGGTGACGCGACGGTGAAGTCCCCCAAAGGGAAGAAACCCATGTTTGGGAAAATCTCCTTCCCGGATGTCGAATTTGACCTTAAATCGCACAGATTCAGAGGGGATGCTTCTTTGGCAGGCCCCAAAATAGAGGGGGAACTTAAAGCGCCTGATCTAGAAGTCTCTGTGCCAACTGCCAAAGGTGATGTAAAAGGCCCGAGTCTCAACGTGGACCTTGACGCTTCTGACGTGAGCCTGAAGAAACCGAAGTTCAAACTTCCCGGTGGGCAGGTGGGCGTAGGGGACTTGAAAATGGAGGGCGACCTGAAAGGACCCGCCCTTGACGTCGCCGTTCCCTCGATCCCGGTGCCAGATGTCGACTTAAACGTGAAAGGACCAAAAGCGAGAGGTGAAGTCGGCGTTCCTGGAGCAGAACTGGAAGGTCCCGAAGGGAAGCTGAAACTGCCCACGGTGGGGAAAATGGGTCTGGGTCTGGAAATGCCGGATGCAAACTGGGATGTCTCGGTCCCAGCCGTGGAAGGAAGCGTGAGCCTCCCTTCGGCTGACGTGAACCTCCGAGGTGTTGATGTCAAGCTCAAAGGGCCCCAAATCTCTGGACCCGATTTTGAGGGAAACCTGAAAGGACCAAAAATAAAGGGAGATCTGGATCTTTCGGGCTCTGTGGAAGGGCCAAATGTCAGCCTGGACGCGCCAGGCGTTGACGTTGGCGGCCTGGGAGGAAAGCTGAAGCTGCCAAAGTTTAAATCCCCCGCTATGGAGGCACCTGATCTGAGCGTAAGAGGAGGTGTCGACTGCTCCGTCCCGCAAACGGAGGCGGATGCGAAAGCCCCGGGCGCAAATCTCAACCTCGGCATCCCGGGCGTCGATATCAAAGGGCCCTCGGTTGACGTTTCTGCCCCGGATTCGGATGTAAACCTGAAAGGACCAAAGTTGAAAGGAGATCTTGACGTTTCTGCCGGCGTTAAATGCCCCAAAGCATCAGTGGACGCGTCCGACGTCGGCTTCGAAATTCTGGGTGGCACGATCAAGCTCCCGTCCCTCAAGCTTCCCCAGTTTGGTATTTCCGGGCCTGGCGTGGACGGGGCCGATGTAGGCGTCAGTCTTGAGGGTCCCCAGGCGAAAGGAGGCCTGAAGGGCTCGGGGGCTGGTGTTGGGTTGGGAGGACCCGACGTGGAATTGAAAGGCCCTAAATTTCAAATGCAGTCACCCGGCATTTCCTTGCCGGACGTTGACCTGAAGCTGAAAGGACCAAACCTCCGGGGCGACGTAGACGTCGCCGGTGAAACCAAAGGTCCAAAAGTCAGCGTGGAAGCGCCTCGTGTCGACGTTAAGGAGCTTGGAGCGGGCGTCCACCTTGACGCTCCTGCCTCGGACGCAGCCGCACCGAAAGGTTCCGGGTCGGGTTTTAACGTCAATGTAAAAGGGCCGAAGATCAAAGGTGGCGAGGCAGCGGGGGGGGGGGGGGCGCGGGCGGCGCCCGCCGGCGGAGGAGCTTTTCACGTTACCGGCCCGAAGGGAGGAATTGGAGGTCCCAGCAGCGCCGCGAGCGTCCTGCAAGGCAGCCCAGAGAGCGGCCTGGGGAAAGTATCGTTCCCCAAGCTGCGAATGCCGAAATTCATGTTTTCCGACCCCGAGGTGAAGGGCAGAGAGATGGGGGTCGACGTCGACTTCCCCGGGGCGGATGCCAACCTCCAGGCTGGCGCCCCAGAGCTCGAGCCGGAGGACGCGGACGTCAGACTAAAGAAATCCAAAATCAAAATGCCCAAGTTCAATTTTTCCAAGCAGAAGGGGAAGAGCAGCGGTGCCCTGGGCTCCCCGGAAGTTTCCGGCTCCGTTTCGGGATCGAAAGGTGACCTGAAGAGCTCCAAGGTCAGCTTGGGCTCCGCCGAAGGCGAGCTGGAAGGGGGAGAGGGGCCGTCGGCCAAAGGGAAGTTCTCCCTCTTTAAAAGCAAGAAGACGCGGCCCTGGGCTCCCCGGAAGTTTCCGGCTCCGTTTCGGGATCGAAAGGTGACCTGAAGAGCTCCAAGGTCAGCTTGGGCTCCGCCGAAGGCGAGCTGGAAGGGGGAGAGGGGCCGTCGGCCAAAGGGAAGTTCTCCCTCTTTAAAAGCAAGAAGACGCGTCACCGGTCGTCGTCCTTCAGCGACGAGCGCTCGGCCCACTCGCCGCCCGCCGGCGCGCCGGAGCTGGAGGG